TGGGAGCAGGTAAAATGCCCAAATGACTGGGAAATTCTGAATGATGCAATTAAAAAGTAACTTTTCCAAGTTGTGGTCAGGGGCACACCAGGGAACACCTGGGGGGGGGGGTTGGAGTCATGTATCTTTCTTACTTGCCTGTTCTGCATGTTTTTAAGATGCTTTTTATATAGTGAGTTTCCCCATCCCACCCCTCAGTTCTAGTTCGCTTGACTTGATTCTGGCTGCTGAGGCCAAGCAGAGTGCCACCCTTGGGGGGGGCGACTTCTCTTCTGCCCTTGACCCCTCCTGTCCCACACAGGTGCTGGGTTGCATGTCCGACCTCCCAGACGCCAGCTGCCAGCGGCTCCTGGAGCAGCTGATGGGTTTTTTCCGCTTCTACCACGGCCCCGTTTGCCAGGCCTACCAGGTGAGTAGCGGGAGGAGCCTGGGATGCAGAGGAGAGGGTGCCCCCCCTTCCTCTTGCCCTCTGTCTCATCCCCAGCTGTCAGCATCTACCCGAGCCCTTTCATCAGAGCTGCTGTTTCTGTTGTGGCCGGCCGGCCGGCTCTTCTCGGCACTTTAGTCTTGTTGTGCCAAGGAAGGATCTTTCCCCTGGCGAGTTGAGCTTTCCTTCGCTCACGCCCAGCTTCCGGATTGGGCAGGTGGGCGTAGATCTGAGCTGTGGTTTTCAGGTGTCTCTGAGCTGGCCTTCAGGGGTCCTGCTGGCCTAGTGGTGGGTTTCCTGGATGGGTGGGTGGCGGGGAGCCCTGGGGGTGTCCTTCCAGATCTTCACATGTTGTAAAAGTGAAGGCCCCCTCGAGGAAGCAGTTGTTTCCAGCCTCCAGAGATGCTGTCCAGACGGGTCTCAGCGGTCCCTTGGTAATGTGCTGGCCTTGGCCGTGTTTCCCACATCTGGACTAAAACCTCTGTTCCAAATGTCTGCTCTCCCTCCTTTCCTTCCCCCCACCCATTCCCCCCCTCACAAAAAAAAAACAAAAAACCACCAGCCGGAGGTGCTTGGCTGAGACAGGGGTCTCTGTCTCCCTCCCAGGAACAAGCAAAGGAGGAGTTGGATCAGGCTTGGGAGAGGACCACGGAGCACCTGCAGCGTAAAACCACCGACCTCCACCGGATCTTCGGCTCCCTCTGGGCCTTGGATAAAACCAAAGTAACTCCCAGAGCTGAGTTCAGCTGCTTTCTAAAAACAAATTCTTAGTATTTATTCATTTAAAGCAGCTTTGTTTCTCCTTTCACCCGTGAAATATACATTCTGTGCAAGACCCTTCTGCCATCCCGATTCTCCTTAATGTTAGATTTAAAAAAGAAAGAAAGAAAGAAATTGAAAGTTATCTACAGAAAAATGAAATGCTGTGGCTAGTGTCCTCTGCTGGGTCCCAACTGGAGTATAGATTCTCCTGCCAAAACCCAGTTGGAGAAAAGCCCCCCCCCCACAAGCCTTTGAGGGCAGAAGCTTTTCCGTGGCTTTTCCTTGCCGTCCCGTTTCCGTGCTTCCTTGTCCTGTTGATCTTGCGTGTTCTCCCGAAGGAGCTCCAGGCGGGATAACACCGGTGGGCTTGGCGGCCTCTCTCTCTGCTCTTCCCCAGGTCGACCCACTCCTGCTGCTGAAGGCTGCCCTCATCCTCCAGACCTGTCAGCGGACTCCCCTCGTGCGGGCCGGCTGCATCCTCTACCAGGGACGGTGAGCCCCACGGGTGTTGCTCCTTTTGCTCCTTTGCACCCAGACCCAGCAAGGCGCCGTTTCTGCTCCCCACCGCGGCTGCCGCCGGCTCCCCGCCTGTGCCTTTTCCCCCTGAAGCTGAGCAGACAGGACGTTTTTAGAGAGCACATGGTTTGTAGAGTGTTTCCAGACCCCCATAAGAATCCCAGCCCCCTCTGCTCTGAGTGAGGGTGATGTGAACGACAGCCAGCGTACGTTGCTTCTGCTCTGCCCTCCGAGGGCCTGGGGGAAAGGCACCGTCCCTCCCCAGGGGAGCCGCGGCCACGTCTCTTAAGGCCTCTCCTCTCCCTCCAGGATTGTCAGCACTCAGCTCCCACCCAACCTGGCAGCCTGGGTTCTGCTGCAGGAGACCAAGCCAGACCCAGAGGTAGGTTTCGGCTCAGCCTGGCGCCAAAGGAAGGCGGCCTGTGCCTCTGCTTCTGAATCTAAACCAACCATATATATTTTTTTAAAGCCAGGTTTCTAGTCCTCTTGATTGTCTGTTTGGTACACCTAGCAAATGGTTCAGCTCTGGAGAGCCGCCGTGCCATCAGCCTTTTAGCTGTAGCCACGGTCTTCCCTGTCAAACCCTCGGTCTTAACCATTCCTTTCCCGGTGCCCGCTTGCCCCTCGTTCTCTGGGAGCAGGTGCTTTTTCTGGAAATCAGGCTTTGCCTTTGCGACTGGAGCACTTTGGGGTGCTGTGAAGGTGGAGCCGGGGGGGAAGAGCAACTCGAACCTCGTGAGGGACTGGAAGCTGGATCTCCCGGCCACCTCTTCCCTCTGGGTTCTCACCCAGCGTAACCCGTGTCATTCTTGGCTTCCATTTCAGGGCGAGACGGAGGAGGTGGAGGAAGGTGAGTAACCCACCGGGGGGGGGGTGTCTGTTGCCTCAGCAGGCCAGCTGGAGGCCTGAGTGCCCGGGGAAGCGGACGTATCCTGACAAGACCCTCGCAGAGTTTTTAGTGGGCAAGGCGGGAGCCTGAGGGTGAACCTGCGCCCTCTCGGGTTTCCGGTGAGCTCCCTCCTCATTCCCTGCTGGGCCTCCTTGTGTGACCGCTTCCTAGCTTTTGCATGGGGTCACACTCTCTTCTCTCACACACACATGCACGCAGACACACACGCACACACCATCCTTAGGAGAAAGAACAGCACACACATGCACGCACACACACACGCACAGCATCCTTAGGAGAAAGAACACCCGAGAAGGAACGCTTGAGGCCGGTGTTTTTGTGCTGATGCCTTTGGTTCCCGCAGGCGGCCCCTGGGAACTCAGCGGGAGCAGAATCCGGCCCCAGGGAGCCCAGAGATGCTGCCCAGGGAGCACTCCGGCTACTCCCGCTGGTGGGGGCCCACTTTTAGGCCAGAGCCTTCCCAAGACCGGACAGGCAGAGACGTGTGCTCCCCACCCCTCTAGGGAGCCCCCCGGCGCCTCGAGCGGAGCCTCCTTTGCCTCAAGGGGTCCAGATCTCCCCCGTTTATCTCTTGGAAGAGGAAGCAGCCGCCCTCCGGGATTCCCCTGTGGAGTGGATGCCCAGGTAAGGCAGGAGGAGGAGGAGGAGGAGGAGGAGGAGGAGAGGCTTGCAGGAGAGAAAAGCAGCCCACCGAGGTGCCTCCGTTTCTTGGGCCACCCTCCCAGATGCCGGAATCGCTCAGGAGGGAGGAAACGGCTTCTTCTCTGGCTCTCTCTCTCTCTCTCTCTCTCTCTCTCTCTCATATTCTCTCTTCCTGAAGGAGCAGCAACAGCAGTGCTCAGGGAGGCCCGGCTGGCAGCGAGGACGGCCCAGCCTGCCCAGCCTCGGCTGAGGACCAGCCAGGGGGGCCGGCGCTGGTGCAGATGATGCTGTACGTCCACCGGGTCCGGGGCTTGGCGCTTTCCCTGCTGGCGGAAGAGCACTTTGCAAATGCCCGAGCCTCCATCGAGGACGTGGTAGGTGCTCTTGGGCTGGTTTGTGGCTGCTGGAAGGGCTGCTTCCGGCACCCAGCTTTCCTGGGGTGGGGTTGGGGGCAGCAGGCCTATGCCCAGGGCGAAGCTGTGGGGAGTGGGGGAGACTCACCTCCGACCAGATGGGCCCACAGCCGAGTGGATCGTGCAAAGGAGGCCTTCATTGGACCATCCCTTGCGTTCAGGCAGGAAGTTTGAAAGACTGTCCGTGGCCTATTTGGTTTTGAGGCCAAGTCTCTTCAGCATTACCTCTTGGTGCTGGCGTTGGTGCCCTGCGAGAGAGTGCGTGTCCCTGACAGGGAGACCTGGTCTCCTTTTCATTCCCAACATCCCAGTGTGATTTATATGGTTGTCGTGTTAAAGCCCAGGAAAGAACGACGAAACCAAACGAAACAGCAGCAAGAGAAAGGCTAAAGCAATTTTAAAAATCCTGGAAATCCCTGCCAATCACGAGAGGAGGCTGACTGCTCGTTTGCTGAACGGGTTAGCTCCTGGTGTGTGGCAGCTGGAGGAGGGATCTTTGGGCTGAGCGGGAAGGGAGTCCACCAGGTGCGGTTTGGGGGGCTGTTGCAGGCGTGTGGCCTCGGCAAGGCCTTGACAGCCCCACACACCCCGTTCTCCTTCCTCTGTGCAGTATCACAGCACCCTGGCTTCTCTAACACACACACACACACACACACACCGTTCTCCTTCCTCTCTGCAGTATCACAGCACCCTGGCTTCTCTGAATGGCCTGGAGGTCCACCTGAAGGAGACCCTCCCGAAGGACGGCCCCTCCTCCACCAAGACCAGCTACACCTTCGCCCACTACGACTCCGTTCAGAACATCCTCACCAGTGAGTGCCAAGCTGGCCGGGGCCGGTGGCGGGCGCGGTTGGGGTGGAGGATGGAGAGCAGGTGCCCGCTTGGCCAGGAAGAGCCCCGCTCCGTGGCGGACCCACGACTCTGGCTTGATTCGCACCACGCATCCACCCAGGTGGCTGAGAGACAAGCCCCTTCGCCTTGCGTCTGCGTGCTGCACGGCAAGGTGCTTTCTGGGCTCGTTCACGGGGCCTGACTATCGCCTGGTTCATGCTCTGAGCTGAGGGCGTCACACGCGGCCCCTCGTCCTCGTGGCTTTATCCTCACGACGACAGAAATAGCCCCGTGAAGAAGGTCGGGCGGATGATGAGCGACCTGAGGCTGCCCTGCGGACCTTATGGTGGGAGGGGTCCGAGGCTCCTCACCGCGACACCCAGCTGAGAGCCATCCCTCCTTGCATTCCCTCCAGCCAACATCCTGCTGACCACCAGCCCACAAGACCGGCCTTTCCTCAGGGCGGCCAGCCTGGTCCACACCACCTTGGAGCAGCTGCCCAGCGCTTCGGAAATGACCGTCAGGTAAAGCCAGGACGGAGGCCTCCCGCCTGGGGGGACTTCAGCTGCTCAGGAGGGACTCCGCCCGGTTTGGAGAGGGGTGGGAAAGGGGGCCCCCCACGCCCTCCCTGCCTCCTGCGGAGTCTGGGGAGTGCTAGGCCTTGGGGTGGGTGACCGCAGGGGGAGGCCACCCGGGCTTCTTGCCAGGTTGGAAGGCTCAGTGCCAATGCTAGCTGGAAGGAGGGGGCGGGAGGGCTTGCTGGCCGGCTCGGAGCCAGCCAGGCCTGGAATTGGCCCGGAGGGGGGGGGGTTGAGGAGGCGGCCGCCCCAGCTGTCTGGGACCTGCCTGCTCCCTCACCAGCTGGCTTGCTTGCTCGCTGGGGTGGAAGCAAAGTGTGATGTTTGCAAGCAGACGGTTGCTTTCCAGGCGGCTGAGCAAGAGCCGGCCTTTCTCCTCCTCCTCCTCCTCCTCCTTGCTTGCTCACTCGCTCGCTCGGGGCCCGGTTGCTGTTTTTGTGTTTCCGTTCTCTCGTTGGCCTCCCCGCCCTCCTCCTGCCACCCGGCCCAGCCTTCCTGCCAAGCCAGTGCATGGCAGCCCCACAGCCCGTGCCAAACCGAAAGGAAAGGAACCCCTCCCAGGGCATCTGTGTTGTGGGCGTTGGCCGCCTTCATTGGCCGGGGGGGGGAATCCGCTCCATCCTGCAGGGGCCCCTCCCCGGAAAGGGAGCAAGGAGAGGCAACCCCTTTGCAGCCCCACAGACCCAAGCTTGGGGTTTTCTTCCCAGAGAAGGGGCCTGTTCCGTGGGGGGGGGGAAGCTCCTCGTTGTCTCCCCCTCCACTGAAACCACTTGCCCGATGGGGGTCACTTGGCTGGACTCTGGATGTGGCCCGGCCGTGGCCACGACTTCCCTCTGCCAACCTCCTCCGTGCGCTCAGGAGGGTTGCCAGGTCTGGCCTGCCCCACAGGGTGGCAGAAATAAGCTCAGGCCGCATCTGCTCTTAACGGGGAGGTGGGGGGGGCTGTATTTCCACTTCTGTTTCTTTTTTTCCTGGAAAAGAACCTAGAGCTGGTGGGGAGAATATTTCTGGAAATCCTGCCGCCCCTCCCTCTTCTGGCCACAGATACAAAGCCCCATCTTCCCATCCCTGTTTCTTCCCCCCCCCGCGACCCCTTCCTCCTTGACCCCACAGGAACGCTGCCACGGCCGTCTACGCCTGCCGGAACCCCGTCCAGGAGACCTACTTCCAGCAGGGGGGCTCCCCGCTCCGCCACTCGGGCGTCCCCAACCCGCACGACAGCGCCTTCGGACTGCCCGCCAAGGCCAAGCAGAAGCTGCTGAAGCATGGGGTGAACCCCGCACGACAGCGCCTTCGGACTGCCCGCTAAGGCCAAGCAGAAGCTGCTGAAGCACGGGGTGAACCTCCTCTGAGCCGGAGAATGGGTGGGCGCCCCCCCCCCGGAGGAGAAGGGTTTCCAGTCACAAAAGGTCACCAGCCCTCCGGGACCCTCCGGTGTTGCCCACAAGAGCTTTGGGTGTTTTTCGCGGAGGGGGTCTTTTGGACGCGTTGAGTCCTCCTCTCTCCCCCCCAGCTCCAAAGAGCCCTCTCCCCTCCTGCCACCGGGCACCCCTGCGCTGCCGCTGTGTGCCTTGAAGTGGACCCCCCCCCACACACACA